TATATATATATATATATATATATATATATATATATATATATATATATATATATATATATATATATATATATATATATATATATATATATATATGTATATTTATGTGAATTAAAAATTTTCTGTAGTTACATATGAAATCCTAACGATATCATTGTTCTGGCACTATTAGAAACTCAGTAACATATTTCACGTGAGAGATGTGTGAACTTTTCGCTTAAATCGCAATAATTCAATGACAATTCAGTCAATTTTTGATTTGGTTTTTAGCGATCCAGCGTAGGAAACGTAATCGAAATACTGAGCACGTAAGAAACAATCATCAAAGTGGTGGACAAAACAGACTGCTTAGGTAAATTTTTTTCCTGTTTTTCATGCTTTGGTCTATGTAAGTGGGGCAAATTTAGGACTAGCAAAGAACTGCGTCTTTTTTTGTTGGAAAAAACTTGTAGGGAACTGAATACCCGTAAAAGACTGATATAGCATCGAACTCCGCTGGAATAACCTAATCCCTCTAAGCAGATCAGTCATAGACTTAGCATTCTCATACATTTATTTCACACTTAGCAGCTTTTTCACTTCATTTATTGAAAAAAAAAACCATTTAACAAAGGGTTAAGGAAAGTGAAATCAACAAAACATATAATATGCAACCACTCTAAAAGGTCCACTAATGAGTACTGATTACTGGACTAGAACTATGGACAACTTTCATTACAGTAACCTTACGAAAATTTTACTATATCCTATAATATTGATTCAGATTTTGCAGCTATAAAGTAGCGAACAACTCTTTGATTGGATCGTTTCATAAGAATTCTTAGTATCCAAACTGCATTTTTTTCAGCCGTCTAATTAAGAATAAGCTCAATGATATATGATCAAAAAATACTACCAGTATAACTCAAAAACGCAAAACGTTCGATCATGTTTCCTGCTACTCTGCCTTTGCAATGACTTCCTTCTTCATGTGATTGTTAGCAATGTGATCGCGAATCCATTTCCATGCACTAGCTGTAATTCATGATAGAAATATTTAATAAATAGAAATAAATTACTGCCTTAATTTCGAGAAACGTTACCAAACAAATAATTTACACTTGTGATAATGGATGAAATCCTCACCATAACGATAGAGACATTTGAAATGAAAAAAAAATATAGCATGGTCTTCCGGGCTGCCAACATGCAGTTCTTCCAGTCGATCATGGATGAAATCAATGATATATGCCAGCCAGAGAACGTTTGTCACAGGCCGAAAAGGTCGCCAATTGTTTCTAAAATTTCGATATGGAGAAAGCACCCACCCATTTATTGTCGAACTCATTAAATTCAAGCTTTCAAAGCTGAATTTGCATCCGTTGGATTTCTATGGCCTTGCATATTATGGCAATATAAAATGACATATCGCATACTACCAACTTCATCCTTTCCTCATATCTAAGATAAACTATTGTAACCTTAATATTCCCTAGATCATCATCCACTTCTAATTTCCTCACTTTATGTACAAAGCTTGTATTATTTTGCCTTTACTAGTCATGTGCCAACTGTGAGCTATACCTGTTTATTTTTCGCATTGTTTGAAAGGCAATATGTTTCAGATCACCTTCACCCATGAAAAATTCTTCATTCGATGTCCAATCGAAATATATCGAGGATACATCTACGATGTCTTGGGTATAGATATGCTCGTAAAACTCATATTTCCAAGAACAAATTTGTCAGGCATTGCTCAAATCAAAAAATTTAATTACTGAGAAGGAAAAAAAAATGTATGTGTATACAAATACCTTTCGTCATTCTGCAAAAAGAAGAATTTATAATTTTGACTCTGGCACCGTGTGTGTATAAGTAGACATCAGAACCGTCAAACTTGCTTCTACAATCATATCAAATTTTGATTTTTCATTTTGAAAATGAAATCTCAAGAAAAAATGAAATTGAAAATAATAATGAATGAAGCATTAGCTGATCGGGTTTATATGCTTTCTGAAAATCAAACCTAATCATATCATGCCAGTCAGTGCCAGTAATCAAAATCTTCTCGCAGTTCAGGTCACGATGTTCAAATGAAAGTCGAAATTCTGCAACAGCAGTGGCCATGAACAACTGGTAGACGATGCTATATGCTTGAAGCACAGTGGTGATCTACAAAATTGATAAGTACCTCTCGAAATCTTTGGAACTGACGATTTTAAATTTAAACAGTAACAGTTATACTATCAGGTTGTTTTCATTGTTTCCAATGCAATCTTTTACTATATCATCTCGTTTCGCTAAACTATAAACCGATTGCCGCTGTTTATAATAAAATCAAAGCTCAATAATACTTCATATTCTTTTAGGCTAATTCCGCCATTCTCGACGGAAAGGAGCAGAAAGTTTTGGTTGGCAGAAAAAAGAGCCGGATTGGCTTTATTGGATTTCTTCTTTCCTTTATACTGTTTCCACGCATTAATCATCATCGATGGATAACGTCCTATAAAAGAGTAATTTATATTTTGCAAAAGAGCGTGAAAATATTTGAGATAATGTACTGGTCACCGACTATTACAGTTCTCGCCATAATCGTCACCGGTCCTTTATGAAAAACTCACAATTTTAATTATAAGACTCACCTTTCACAACCAACGCTCCCTTCAGCTGAACAAACCCTTCCGTAGAGTATCCCTGTTCGACTTGGCTGAGATTCGTAAGTTCCTTCAGAACGACCAGTTTTGCAGTTCCCTCGCGGAACGAGTTTGTACGGCGTCTATTGATCGGTTTATTATCACCAATAGGAATCAACTAAACATGACAATTAAGGTAATAATGGATTACTTTTCACAAATTGCCTCGTCTGAAGCAGTTTGTGGGGAAAAAAAAACTTGCCTTCAGAATGACCGTCTCCATTTTATACTGAGCAACAAAGATCTCGGAATATACTCCCTCTGCAATTTTCTTCGCTTTCGATACATCGCTGCAGTTACATATTATGATTTTTAACTTGAGAATGGTTTCTTGATTTTTTAGGTAAATTAAGACAAACTTGTACTTCCAATAGTTTGTATCACTACTGCTAAGCAACAGATAACTTTAGCTCTTAAATAAACAATTCAATGATTCAGAATCTTTTTCAAGAGCTTCTATTCAATTATCTGCCCAAACAGTCAAACTGCTACAGGAAGACGTACTGTGTCATCCGCAACATCAATAGCTTGTAACTTTACTACTTTCACCATTTGGAAATATTGTAACTTACAGCATTTTCTTGATTTTTCTCCAACGTTGGATTTGCGATTGATTACAGATATGAAGAAGCTCTTTGACATAATTTCGTTTATTAGCATAATCAGCCGTCCAAGGAAATGATTCTCTCAGATAAAAGGGTCGGCTATCCTTAAATAAAAGAAAGAAAAAGAAGAAAACAGTGAACTGTCACGCAAAATATTGCTGTGGTAAGAAAAAAAAAGTAAAAAGGATCTCGGGGAAAAGAACACAATAGTTTCATTTTTTGTCATCCGATCAATAAAATATGAAATATTCTGAAAAAAATAAAATTTGGAAAAGAACGGGAAATACTTGACACAAATTAAAAATTTGCTCCTTTCTCAATCATACAGGTAATAAAAAGAATAAAAAGGCGAAAAAAACTGCAGTACTATTGGTTTTTAAATTAAATAACAAAAATATACCTTGGAGTCACTACTTGGCACGAAATCATCTATAAGTCCCTCCGCATTGATATTTTCATGGAATACCATGAATCGACAATTAATTAGTTGCAAAAGAAATTTTTCAGAAAGTGAAAAGGCTAAATAAAATAATGTGAGTCATACTGTTGCAAGTTATTTAGGCATTCCAGGATCCTTTTTTTTTCTTTCAATCACCTCCAAAATCACTGGGAAAACGAAAAGTGGCGGGTATCTGTACCGTTTATTTCAATAAGGTGAACCGCTATTTTGCTTCGACTTTTTATCTAATCCTAGTCCTCAGGTTATCTTACATGTAGTACAAGATAAATAGTAATCTGCCAGACTGCCATTAATTCCTTATAGCTATAGATAATAATTTTGCTGCTACTAAAAATCATTTCAAGATCAAAATATTGTTAGTAACCACTGACACTCCATCGGCAAGAACGGCTCTATTTCCTCCCATTCTTCCGACTGAAATATAAAATAATGAATTTAACCTCATCTTTACTATATCATTGATGGAGTACTAAAAGTACAAACAACTCCACTAGTCAAAATTCTGGATAATTTTTCTGGAAAAAGGCGTATTCTCATCACTCTACAGTCCACAAAATACGGCGCCATTTATAAAATTTAACGATCAGCTCTCTTAAATCTTTACCTACTGCCTTATACAGTAAATGTTCCCTCATTTCATGCTTGAAGCTCTTTGGACTTGGGTCTTATGCATCAAAAACCTTTAAGTATTATTCATGATATATTTTACGAAATTGAAATATTTAGTAAATGGAAAAATTCCCAGTTGCCTTTTTAAATTGCTACTTTTATTACAAATTCAGCCATCAAATAATTCGAAAATATATTTCAGAAATTGTCAATTTTTTAGTAACTCACTTCTTTATCAATTTTCCAACAATTTCTTTCATTTAGTCTTTGTTTCTCCACTAAGTCTCTCTTAACTCTTTTTAATCAATGGAGCCTTCGCTCAAATTCAATCCATGTCTCGATTTATGCTCGTAAATATAACTCTTATCGAATCAATTATTTTCCAAGATACTTGCAGAAATTTTATTGCTATTTCATTAATTAGCTCTCCGTTACACAGAATAAGAGATTTCTCACCTCAACAGTAGCAAATTGCTCTGATTCATCAGTAATGGTCAAAATACCGTTGTATTTGATAGGTGTTTGCGCCATTGTTTTTGCTGAAAGAGGAAAAAAAGCATCAGGATACAGTAAGGTAAAATGTCGGTTTTGTGTGAAGCACAAGTTATATACGTGTTGTACAATCACGTAAGTTGTAATGCCGACTGGCAAATGCTAGTAATGACAGGAAAAGTTAAACAGAATTTCAAGGGACGACCGGATGAGAACATGAATGAAACAAAGTTACAAGGTAACTTATGCAAATCAGAGGAGTTCTAGGCTAAAAGACAAGGGATAAAAGGAAGCGACAGGATGGAAGAGGGGAAGACAAGACAAAAGTGAGGAAATGGAACGTGCATTTTACAGTTATAGATAATGGTGGTAAATTTTGAAGTAGATCTCGTCCAGAAAATCAACAGAAACATCCGGAAACCTTCCTTATAGTCCTTTT